TGAGTGTGAGTCCGTGTTCATTTTAAGGAGGTAAAACTTATTTAAAAACTTACAAATTTCTTGCATTAAATCAGATTCTTGTAGTACAGTCAAAATCAAAGTCTGTTTGCCAGATTCATGAGTATAGACGAGTCAGACACATCCTGTGTTATTAATAAGCAGCTAGATGAGCAGAGAAGGCATGGGCTTCTTGCCAGGCCATGCCTCTTTAGCATACTTCTTCTTGCGGGGTTCACTGAGAGGGTCGGAGATGTAGGGGCCGGGTAGCGGCGTGGGGTTGAGCACGAGTGGAGGCGGCGGGGCCTCCTGGGCCAGGTCTACATCCGGGGCCGGGTTGGGCAGGGGTAACGGCAGTCCTCCCAGGATTGTGGCTCCGCCGGGCGCTCCTGTGGATTGAGCTTCGTGACTGGCCGGGGGAAGGTCTCTGTAGAGTCCACCATGCAAAGGGAACATGTGCATGTGTCGCGTCACTATTTCCTCGATTCCCAGCGCAGTACCACCGCCCATTTTCTTCTTCTGTTGGGTAAACATAGGCATGTAAATCACTCTCTTTTTTGCATAAATGACTGAATGACTTGAGATTTGAGAAGCTACCTTAATAGGAACCACAGCTGTTGTCACCATGTTTCTGAAACGTCCAACAGAGGGGTCGATGTCCTCTAAAAGAGTTAACAACACAAACATTGTTAAATGCCTCAAGTCACAAAAGTAGTGAGGGATGCTGTAGGCCAAGTCTTAAGACATATGATAGCTTTGTCTGATGAACAAATCTAGTATTTGTTTTTTGGCGATAAATCACGCTCTTTCAAGCTCCTCCTCCACCGAAAAAGGGCAGTTCAACCTGCTGTGCCAGGTTTGATGTCATTAACACCCAGGGTTATTATCATTAACTAAAAGTAAAACTACAAGATAAAAACAAACAACTTAATTAGAAATGTTGCCTTGGAAACTTAAGTTTAACTTGAAATAAATAAAAACAAAAACTAAACAAAAAATGTAATCTTAATATTTCAATGAAAAGTAATAAATTACAAAAGCACATAAAGTTAAATAAAAAACCTATTAAAATATTAATAAAACTATAGTAGTATATAAATAATATTAAAATAATGCTTAACACTAGAGGTCGACCGATAGTGGATTTTACCGATAGCTAGGTTGGACCACACTGGCCGATACCGATTAATCAACCGATAGTTTTTAAAATGGTAAAC